ATTTACAGTCATGTTTTATCTAAGGTGTATATGACTCTCATATCTCATATCATACCTTTTTCAGTGGCAATATTCACCTAAATTAATCCAGTATTTAAGCACAGGTGCAGAGATAACGTACTGTAGGGTATTTTGACAGGAGCTCCCAGCAGATGGTAGTGTGGTTTGTCCAGAGTGGGAGTGAAAGTGACTAGTAATCCATGATAAACATTAAGAACTCCCACAATGACCACAGTTTCCTCTGGAAAACAGCCGGGTGGCCATGTGCAAAGCCTTGAGTCAACAAGCCACACTAACATCAGCTGCATTAGTCACCGGTTAAAACAGTATGGGGTAAGAGTGGCATATGTTTATGTTCTTACTGGGTCTTTTTTATGCTTTTATAGGTCTTTTTTGTGTGTGTTTTTAAATCATCTAACTGGGCTTTACCAATTTTAGTAATAATTCTGGCCCCTGTTTCCTCTGTGTGATGGATGTCAGAGAAAAAATTGCTGTCACAAATTCTGTGACATACAATTTGGCTGCCTAAACCTCAGAGCTAATCTGCGAAAGTGTGTCCAATACAAAACACAGCAAACTAGAACAAATTTTAATGAAACTTCCAAATAGTAACTACTATTTATTTCTACCATGTGTACTGTAAGAATAATAATCAGCTGACCCCTTATATTACAAAACAAGCTGACATTGTTGAATAAATTCAAATATTAGTAACTGGTACAGATCATTTTTACAATCACACGCAATGAAGTTACTTTCAAAAATTCAAGCAAACTGTCCTCAATCTGATTATGTAAGCAAGACCAGAGCAGTGACCTTTGAGATGAGTTTTACACATCCTGCTCTTCCCACTCCTGTTTCCTGCAGAGAGATAATGTCAGAGAGCATTGGTGTGGTGAAGATATATGCTCAGCTCAGGTGGTGAGCACATCCTGCAAATGTTCTTGAGCTGACTGGGATCAGACGGACTCACATGATGCACAGAAAAAGGTTTGTTCCACAGCTCAGGTCAGAGGAGGAAACCATTATTTTGTTGCCAGCTGTTCTACTTTAAATTTTACAGTTAATCCCCCCAAAACAGACAGTTGGGACGTTTGGGATACAGTTGAGTCCAAGAGGAGTTAAAAATCTGAGGATAGGAATGCAGTAGTCAGGAACAGAATATAAAATGTTGTTCTCTTGCCTCAAAATTTCACAGTACTGACCATTATTCATGCCTTTTATCAGTCCCACCATGACACTTATCTGAAACGGTTGTTTTTCTATTCAGTCTATTGGAGGTTGTCTCGTTAAAAAGTTGAAATTTGATCTAAATTAAAGAATAAGAAGACAAGATTTGGATTTTTTCTTCTATTAAATAAAACAGGATTCATCCAGCATTAAGTTTCTGGAATTTCAAGATTAAGCAAAACAGTGTTGACAAATTTTCCAGCCATTATCTGAAAGAGAAAAAAAACAAGAAAGAAAAATGCTGTTTTTAGTCTCACAAGGCTTAAGTGTCTGTTTGTTGAGAACTGAACAAAACAGCTTTTTCTTCATGAAACCACAGTGAAGTCTCAATCTGACCAGACAGTAAAAAAAGCTCCAAAAAAAAAGAAAAAATTCAACCTTTTTTTTAAATAGTCACCTTGTTCAGCTTAGCTGATGACTTTATTTTTCACGAGAACTTCTCTTCTTAATAATCTCCTTTTGTTCTTTGTCCTCTGATTTTTCCTCTATTTACTGTAGGCTACTTGGCGCCACCTGACAACATGAATAACTTACAAGGTGGCGTTGACATAACGAGCCAATTTAGCTGAAAAAAAAGACATGTAGTACCTCATACCTTCTTTAGTAGTGAAAAATGAAGAAAAAAATGTTGGCTTGGTGCTGCATGTACTTTGCAGCCTTTGCCCCTAAATAAATAAGTTAGAGCAAGGCCAACATAATTTATCTTATCCTGAGCATTTACCCACCCTCATCACCTCCTCTTACTCCTTCATTGAGCCTTGGCACCAGTCTCGCTGTCTGACTCTCGCTCTCCATGACCTCACATTGCTTGTGTTTTCTTGGCTTTGAAAACAGTGGAGTCTCAATCTGACATTCAAAACCAAAACTTGCATCTATATCCAGAGGGAACACTGCCATCTGCCCTAAAGGATCATTTTGAACAAACAGAATACAATGGATGGATGGATGGATGGATGGATGGATGGATGGATGGATGGATGGATGGATGGATGGATGGATGGATNATGGATGGATGGATGGATGGATGGATGGATGGATGGATGGATGGATGGATGGATGGATGGATGGATGGATGGATGGATGGATGGATGGATGGATAGCCACTGTTCACAAAAACTCCAAAAGCTTCCTGGAAGGCTCAAGTCAATTAAAAGCTTAGAATTCCTTGAAGGAAACCATATGACCCACTACCTGACACACCAGTGTTTAAACTAAGATCTTCTTATGTTGAGAAATCACAGAGTTATAGTTATTTTGGTTAAACCGTAAAAATAACATTACACACAATTCTTTGCGATATTATAATCTCTTGCCTGATTTTTTTAGCTTTTGGAGTATGTCACGTGAACGAGTCTCAGGCATGAATCTTCCATAATTTAACTAAGTGTCTGCAAAATTGACAAAGTTATAATCATTTTTGTGTAGCTTAAGGGGGGGTGGGGTAGGGTTGCAAAACTGAGCTTTATATCATGTTATAAAGTCATACCCTCATTAAACACATACTCAGTGTGTTGTTTTCACTCATACGTGCATGTTTGACAAATCCTTGACTCTCCTGAGGTAGCCATGTTTAGCTGCCTAAACACTTGCTGGTACAAAGCACCGCCTACTTACACAAAGCTCCTCCCTGGAGCTCAGTCCCCAGCTGAGCTCCCGCCACAGAGAGCATCCCTCCCAGGCGCCTCCCCCACACAATTCCATCAGACCTGGTGGAAGTGCATGTCTGTTGAGCTTGTAATACTAACTAAATCTCAGCCCAGTCCTTTTTGGAATAAAAAAATGCATTCATTGAGGAAATGTATTTTTGGATGCCAAAGAGACTTTTACAACGCTCCTATGAAAGGCTGTAAAGTTTAAACCGAATGAAGCATTGCTGTGAATACGCTCTAAAGTGGGAGTATCAGAAACAGTACAAGTTTTTTAAAGAGAGAGGCCAATTTTAAGACCTTTAGCTATGATGCAAAGTCAGATTTATACTTTTACATATACAACATTTTCATAACAACTGAAAGAAACATAGTTACTTGAATGTGGTGTAAAATTGAACTATATGCCTGGAAAATACATAATACCCGCCCTTTAAGGTTAATTAACTTGAAATATATTATATTGAAAAGTTAATCAGTTGTAAATGTACAGCCAATAATAAGTTCCTGAGAGTTTCAATAAAATGTGTCCAGTGGTTCACTTTTCTAACCAATATGCACGTATGAATGCCACAAGCAATGGCAAAGTTTCAACCACAGATCTTGTGCAATCAGTTAGAGCTCAGAATTTAATTTGGGGATCAGCCTCAGCTACCAACATGTCAAATTTTAGCTGAGTAACTAAAACTGACTGGGTTTGGACATTTTGGCGTTTACCTTTGGCGGCAGGTGATAATTAAGTGATTAATGCAAAATAGGACTCTTTATTTATTTTTGGACTATCTGGAACCTTTAAAGGTAAAACAGCTCATGTTGAAATTAGGACCCTTCTCATCCGGTTAGTCAGTTTCCTCAGAAACATGACAGCGAATGTAGTCATCGAATGACTATTTGTGATTCAGGAACATTGTCTGCTTTCTAAAATTTGAACCTGCAATCCAGTCTCCCTCTTTTTACTCCGGATCGGTGACTCAGTATGCAAATATGTCCTGTGAGTCAAGAAGAAAGAAAACATATGCATAGCAACTGTGCRCTCTCCAGAGATCTTGTATTGATTAGAAGATTTACTACGGCTTCGAGATAATTGTTTTGGGAAGGAGAATGTAGAAAAAAAAACTTTTCATGTACCATGTGCCAAAATATTTATAAGTTTTTCACCAAGTTACCACAAGCACGTGGATGGCTTCACCCTTCCTGAACGCCAGCAGAGCACCGAAAATCATGAGTCGTTCATTAATTAGCAAGAGAAGCGCCATAAATGTCAGTTGTAATTCAGAGTGTTTCTGCGGTTTAGTGGAGAGAAATTACAAAGATGACAAACTGAGTGTCCAAATGAAAATTGTGGCACTTAAACCGACTGCGAGCAGATTAGAAACATTCAGGAAAGCACTGGGCACCAATCCAAAACGGAGAACGGCTTGACAAGGTAAGTTTGAACTTCGAGGTAATAATAATCCATTAAAATGTTCCAAGACACAATTATTCTCTCTAAATGTCCTTGATCTGGTTGTAGCCACAGAAAAGTGATTAATCAAACTAAAATGGTATTTCCAAAAAGACTTCATCTTAAGCAGTCAGAAACTCGAGCCAAGAAACTATTATGCCTGTCTGATTAGCAGGCTTTGGAGAATTTGCTGAATGAACTGAAAGAAATCTTTGTTTGAGCCATTATTAGGTTATAACAAATCAAAAAACAGACTGAAAAAGTCAAACTTAACAAAAATACAAAATGTAACCTCCCCCTTTTATTTATTATAGCAACTATGGTTATCCATTTTCCAAATACTCTGAAATAACTTAATATTTTGCAAAGCATGGCACCTAAATGCAGCAAAGGATTTCTTCATTTACGTTAAGTATTTACTTAAAGGGGATCAAAGTACTGCCTTTTACTCCAAAGCTCCTCCCCTGGACCTCAGTTCCAAAGCTCTCACTCCACAAAGCATCCCTTCTCCCTGAAACAACTAAAGGTTACACAGCTAATTGATTTGGTATAGAATTGAACTATGTGCCTGGAAAATGCATAATGCCTCCCTAAAAGTGTACTAAAGATGTGATATATGGACTTGGCTGCCTGATTTGATAAAACTGCATGCATTTACGAGTTGATGAGGATATACTTACGCAGTCTGGACAGGCGGTTTGGTGGTCGCAGGTCTCACGGTCTGGACTTTTCCGGTGTCACTGGACTGTCTCTCTGCGAGCCGCCTCTGTTCTTTCTGAAAAGGGTTGGTGCCGGGCTCGACGCGCCTCAGAGTGCCTCGCTCGCGGATGTACACCTGTTCCGGGGCCACCTCTTCGCAGCGGGGCCCCTGGAAGCCTGAGCGACACACACAGGTATGCGGTCGGCTGCAGGAGCCACGGTTCTGGCATGGGGGCTGGCAGTCAGCTGAGGAGAGAGAGCACRGAGAGTGATCAAGTTGTCAGCAGGTCACACATTCAAGCATGACCCCCTATCCAACCCCACCCAGTGCAAAAAAAAGGCTGTAGTAGAAATGATTGTTCTTGATTTTAACAATGGGTTCACCCTGAATCGAGTCAGTCAAAAGGCCATTAGTTTCACTTCCTAACCATTTTACTACTTTTCATCAGAGGAGCAGTGGGTGCTTTCAGGTTCAATTACCTTTGAGTTTTAAACTGCTCTGTTCGGCTGCTTACATTAAATCTAAATCTAACTGCTGCTTGAGGTAAATGCTGGTATTAGTTAATGTACTTATCAAAGATCCAACATGTACTTTTTCTGTCAAAGAGCCATAAAAGTACAAGATCCTTTTGAAAAAAGAAGAGAAACAAAATATCTAACATATAATTACAAACATGGCATGTAGAGGCCTTTATTTGAGAAACAACATAAACTGGATAAGGCCTAATCCCCTTTAAAACATGCTTTCCCTTAATCTGGTTGCAATTTTAGAAATCAAGTTTAATCCTGTAAGTTTCTGCAAGATTTTGAGTCATTTTACCGTACACGAATACACAACTAAAGTCCAGGTGGGAGTACCCCGCAGGCATCTCTGCTTAACGCAACTCCAAATACAAAATGACACGGTGGCATGCATTTGAAAGAAATGAAGATGTTCTTGTGTCACAAATGAGTGAAGCAGGCAAGATTTGAGGATTTGTGACACTGTCCTTAAACAGCAGATCAGGCCACTGCTCTGTGGTGGCTAAAGCAAACAGTGGTGCTCTGTCAACAGCTGAGGAATGCTATTCAAACAGATGCTATGAACACTGGCAGATCGCAGGCAGGAACGCCGCCACAGCTCGTGTTGGCAGTCAGACAGTTTGCAAACAACTCTCTACCTGCTGCACGCTTCCTGTTATTGTGACACTGCTCAGACTCTGAACACATCGCTTCCTGACTACAGTAAGCATATACAGTACCAGACACAGAGGATGTTATTCTTCATCACATGTGCTCAGAACTAACAGAAGGGAGCATGACAAGTGTTGTGCAACAACTGATAGTGTTGTAGTCAAGACTACCTAACCCAAGACCAAATCAAGACCAAGACCAGAGTGTATCGAGACCTAGACAAGATTAAGACTTTTAGGGGCTGGACCAATTTGAGACCAAGACTGAGGGAGGGTGATACCAAGTCAAGACCAAGAGTGGAAAAAACATATGGAAACTAGTGCACTCAAACATACAGTATACTGTACACAAGTGACTTAATGTGTATATCCAATAATCGCTTTGTGTGAGGACTTAATAAAGAATTTTGGTACAAAGGCAGGTTGCTAACCTTAGCTCAAAAAGTTGTCCTTAGACTGGTCTCGAGTACTACAACACTGACAACTGACATTTAGTTCCAAAGGTATGAGTCCAAAACCTACTGGTAAAATCTTTTTTTGCTCAAATGATGTGTAATTAAAAAACTATTTCTTGTAGATTGTCAGGCTGTGGTGATGAGACAAACTAATACAATAGGCAAATTCACTCAAGTATTGCTTTTATCCATCCATCCATCCATCCATCCATCCATCCATCCATTATCTGGCCTTTGTTCAGGAGTTAGGTGGCAGGAACAGCCGCTTGAGCCAGAAGACCCTGAAATCTCATTCAAAAGCAACTTCTTCCAGCTCTTCTGGGAGAATTCCAAGATGTTCCCAGGCTAGCCGAGAATCATAGTGTCTCAAGCATGTCCTGGGTCTTCCCTGGGGTCTCCTCCCAGTCGGACACCTCCCTAGGGAAGCATCCTTACCAGATGCCTGAACCACCTCATCCAGTTCATAGAAGTACACCATATTTTTGTATATTAAATCATACACATTAAAAAAGAATGTGGTTGTGGATTGTATAACTTGGTACGTGATTCAAATTTTCCATTACGAGATAAAACAGGGAAAGGTTGAAGTCTGTTTGGCAAGAAAAAATATTTCATCCAGCTGAAGTATGGGCTGCCTGAATGCTGCTGTTTTGCCGGGACTATGTTCAAGTTCATGTGTGGGATGGAGTGTTGGGATTAAACAGGTCACAGATCCCAGTGGCATTATGTTAAAGGGGGAACAACTCAGTAATGTGTGAAAATTAATTCCTTAAATAAAACTGTCCAAACTGAGACCAGACGAGAAACTGCACAGGATTGGCCTGCATTGGCATGTGTTTAATGACCCATTTTTTTAAGCTGAGGCCCAGAATTGATGGCAGACAAACATGTCGCCTTTGCTGATAGCGGAGGGGACAGGTCAGTGRCTCTGGACTTGACATTTGCCCCACATGAAGCTTGCGTGGCCACGGCTTACAGTGTCACTGCCAATCTGCGCTGTCTCTGGGCCCTGCCTCTGTGCTGTTGAACACATTGTCACAGTAATTGCTGTCGTGCAGATTTGTCTTGYACATCATTAAAACTAATTGCCTCGCATTCCATCTTTTTTCAGAAATATGCACAGCAATTATTACTTTGCAAGAGTAATAATAAAATGAGAATCCATCGGAAATAAAAGAGGAAAAATGGCAAACATTCCTGGCATTGCCACTTCAGCCTTAATTACGACTGAGCCAGACCAGCCAAGGTCTTGGAGTTTGAGTCCGCATCCAGTCATCTGAAAAGAGGCTATTAGACTGAAGCTTTGAGTTTTCCACACATAAAATATGCTGATGCAGAAAAAGTACATGGAAATGCCTGATCTGTGGGGATTTCTTAAATATCCATAACTTCCGAAAACCTCAAATTTGAAGTTATGTTTTGAACTTTAATAACATATCTTTTTGAGGCTTTCTATACGACAAATTGGCAGGAACAAAAGTAGCACTCAACAGCAAAAACTCAATACTTCTACCTTGGAGTTGTAGAGAAGCACATCACAATCACAGATGGAGGAAAACAGCACATAAAGAATCCATCCTGTCATCATGCAGAATGGGACTGATTGAATGTAGCTTGCCCAGTGACCTTTTCATTTAGCAAAATATTGTTAAACAATTGATTCTGTAGCTCAGACTGTACACAAATAATGGATATAACAATGCTTTAAAAAGTTCAGCATTTGGTCATTGCCATGTTGCCGCTTTTATGTTTGGACAAGCGCATGTAGCTGAAAAGTGATTCTTGCAAAGAATTTTGGACAAAAATACACATCTTCAAGGTTTCACGTTCATTTCATTATAGAAATATTTTTAAATGACCACCAGGACACTGACAAGGAGAAGTGATGTGAGGCATGGTTTCAACTGGTTGAGCAGGCGCCTCTTGTAAAAAGCCTGAAACCCTCATCGCAGCCAGGCCTGGTTCCATTCCAGACCAGTGTGGCCTTTCGCAGCTCAACATTCCCCTTTCCTCTGCCTGCTTTCGTGGCTCTCACCCGTTGCCAAATTAAAGCACCCAAAAGAAGTGAATCTAGCTAATAACAGCATAACATCTTGAGGGAAAAATTTATTTGTGACACTGATACGTTTAAAGAGGGAGGGTGTGGAGTCCTAAAACATTTAAAAAGGCAGCACCTAGTAAGAATTAGTGATATTTAACTTCAAGACATCTTGGCTTGGACAATGAGTCACTAGGTTTAACTTTGTCTTTGTGCTACTTTGAGCTAAATCTACCTAATTATAGCAAACACGTACACCTACATTTAACAGTAATTAAAAATAATTATAGATTTGTCTTTGGTTTTTAGTAGAGTGTTAAAGTATTCATTTATGGTCTTTTTTAGCTTTAAAAAAACGGAATAAAGCATCATGTTAACAGTTTTTGCCATGAAAGATGCATTTACATCCTTCTTTTTCACATTTAAATSATTCAGTTGGGGTCTAAATAAAGTGGAACTGCAATGCTTTGGTCTGAATTCCTCCTTATTGTAACTCCACAAGCCCCTCTTTTCTAAGGTGAGTCTCAAAACAACTCATTTTGAGGCTGTCTCTTTAAATCCAAAGGAGGTCCTTCACATCCCATTCAGCTCCAACTTACAGAGTGGTCCATTGTGCCTTGATAGAGGGGTTTACGTCTATAAAGCGGCACAGAAATGTTTAATTTACAAATTGATTAATTATGTCAACAACAAAAGACTTGTCATTTCAGTGTTACATGCTGGACCAGGAGTCTGACCCACAGCCAGAGGAGAATGAATATGACCAAATTGTAGTTGGTAAATCCAGACCTTATTTGGCAGTTTTGTCGCAAATACTTTGACATAATAGTTCAGAAAACATCATAGAAAATATTGAAAACTGAACAGGTTGAAAAATATGACCCAAACACAATATAAAGTTATCTACACAGCACCAGTAAAGACTAAATTCAACTTTTCTGCACTCCTACAGACTCCAAGCACACAATAAAATGCAGTTAACAGCTAAAAAAATGGATTTTGCATGTTATGTCCAATTAAAGACAAGTGCTTTATTATAGAAAAGTAGATGACAAGTGGAGTACTTTAGGTTGGAGAAATACTCACATCATAAAAGTTAATGGAAAAGTTTATGTGTTGAGCAGCATTATACAGAACAACCATGACACTTATGGGAAATACTAATTCAACATTCACCAAGAGGTGTTCTTTATTTTAATATATTTCAAATAATTATTATTGTCAGACGTCTAGGTGGTGACTCAAATGTTGTTTACTTTTATCAAAGCTACCTTGTCTAATTTACTGGAGCCGGTATGTTGCTGAAAATTTCTCCCGGGAGTTAAAGTTGTCTCCTTTGAGCTTAAGTTTGGGCTTTTAATTAAGACAGTCATTCTTGTCCTCCTTCCACAGGACTCTAATTTCATACTTGCGCTCGTTTCCACTCCATTACAATCCACCTGAGATTTGCCCTCCCCTCTCTCTGACTCAAAGTAATACAACCCATTAAATCTTTACAGTCCCTCCATTGAGCCAGGGCCAACCTGAAACCAAAATCTGGCATAATTCAAACGTGTCGAGAAATCTCCTCACTTTGCGAAA